AAGCTATATGTGTATGTGTTTGTTGCCCCTCTGAACAGTGGTTGGCTGAGTCCAGAGGTCTAACTGAGCTTGTCCTCCGCTGTTGAATTAAATGTACCTTCTGCTCTCGTTCAGGAAATCTAGTGTAATATTGCAGGGGTCAGGGGTGGAGCTATTCTTTTCTCTCACTCATTCACTCATTTGTTAAAATGCTTTAGAGGGTTAGCTCAGTCGGTAGAGAATGGCCGACCCCCATATACGCAGCGGCGGCCGGGTTCGAGTCGGAACCTCTCCTCCCTGCCCCTGTTCCTGCTCCTAACCCAGCCATCTCTATCAAATAAAGGCATAAAGGCCAAAACAAAATAATACTTTAAAATGCTTTAGAGGATGGGAGAGCTGATGAGGCTCCCATTACCTTATGAAATGCACAAAACAAGTTGTGTTTAACAACTGTGTGATTAGAGTGATACAGTTTTCATTTTTAATATTTTCTTGCTCAGTAAGCATGGTCAGTTTGTTCTCTGACCTTGTGTAGTGTGTTAATGTTGTGTTCCAGCCATCAGGCCATGCATGATGACAATCTCCTAGGCAAGTGGTACCATTTAATGTGTGTCAGTAATGGCCATCACGAAGGTTCATGGGCTGCAAGCCAAAGCTACATCCATATTTCAACTTCAGCTATTTTCGCAGTCAAACCGACTGGCACAGCTGTGGGGCTTAGTCCGACACAAGTCATGAATTTGATGACTTTAGACTTGGTATAACTTTGAATCCAACACCAATGACTCGTGACTTGACTTATGACTTAAAGCCCAGTGTAGAATAATTTTTGGCTGATGCCAGAAGCACTTTAAGAGATCTGGCTTGCATTATGACTTCATAAAGTTTAGGACTTGCGTGACTTGACTTGGGACTTGCAAAACCACCATCCAGTTCCACCTCCTCTGGCTGGTGTCTTGGATAGCAACATCAGACAGACCAGGATTTTCCAGCTTGCTCCTGGTGCTTGGTAGCAGCCTCCCACTCTGGATATCACTCCACCTAATCTGATCTGGTGTCTGTTGTTTGTCCTCTCTTTTGTCTGCCCTCAGGCCAAGTACATCTCCACATGCATCGATGAGATCAAACAGGAGCTCAAGCAGGACAACATCGCTGTCAAAGCCAATGCTGTGTGCAAGCTCACCTACGTAAGATTTCTCAACACCGACTCTTTCTGTCTGTCAGTTCTACTTGATACCAAAGCACTGATACACACATACATGGACACCATCATAATATGGCTCTCAGCGTAACCCGCCTGGGAGCCAGTCTCTTTATTCTATAGCACTAGCAGGGTAAGCCGTTCAATATACAACACTCAGGATTAACAAAGAAAGAAACTAAACAAAAAACCCAATTAAGATCATATGAAAATTATATGTAATTTGTTATATGACACTAAACAGGTAAGGAGTGTATATATGAGCGAGCGAGAGCTAGGGAGGATGTCTTTTGAACAGGCAGTGAATATGCTCAGACAGTTTCATACTATATTACGTTGACATGCACACAATGGAAAATTCTAGCTGGCTGTGTTAACTGCAGACGGGAACCACACACAGACTTCACTCTTTGTATATTATCTTTTCTATTCAAACAGCGTCATGCTGAATGAAAGGCCATTGTTTCTGCTCAAGGCTTCATGAAAGGCAAAAAGAAATGACCAGTTAGAAACAACTTCATACGTTTTTACAAAATGGGTACAAGGCTCCATGTATATGTTTTGTTTTAGTCACTACACAGCCGCATATTGAGAGGAGTGTACAATTTATGTTTAAATTAAAGCACTCTATTTATAACCTAGGTCCACATTTTGGTTTAGATGGCATGATGCGATTGGCATCCATTCTGACTTTAAAAGCATTCAGCTCAAATCATTTAGCCTCTTAATTCATCATAGGAACAGCTTAGAGCCCCTCTTCTTCTTTTATTCACCCACATCTCTTTGTCTCTTTTCTTTTCTGCGTTACAGCTTCAGATGCTGGGCTATGATGTCAGCTGGGCCGCTTTCAACATCGTTGAAGTCATGAGCTCCTCCAAGTTCACATACAAGGTACGACTGGAGTATAATGCGAAGTCTTGGAAATGCAATTCTTACAATGTCACTTTCTTGACATAATCTTGACTAATGGGTATGATGTTATGACTGTGGTATATGCCAATGTGTAGATTTGCCAGGACAGTATTGTTGAGGTACAAACAGGCTCACCAACAGTCAGTTTCTGTAGCACTGAAGTTCATTTTTCCACATAGATACTCATCTGAAAATAGCACAAGGAATAGTCACAGCAGATCCAATGTACTCTATAGATCAGTCTCTGTGAAAGGTTGAATGTTTGTAATAATAGCAAAGTACTGAAATATACATTATGTAATTACACAGTATGTCATTCTTTCTGCTTCCTTCTCTTCCTACAGAGGATTGGCTACCTGGCAGCCTCACAGTGCTTTCACGAGAGCACTGATGTCATCATGTTGACAACCAATCAGATCCGAAAGGTCAGTGATGTTCCGTGTCTGTGCCCCCTATGAATATTTCTTCGCTGTTATTCTCGGCCAACCTTTTCTGTCTTATGGACTCTTCCTTTTTACCTTTTTTCCCCTCAGGATCTCAGCAGTCCCAACCAGTATGACACAGGTGTAGCCCTTACTGGCCTCTCTTGTTTTGTGACCCCTGACCTGGCTCGGGACCTGGCCAATGACATCATGACACTGGTGAGTCAAGGAGAATATGTCCAGAGGTTTATCAAAGGGACTGTCTATTCTGGCTACAGTTAATGACTCCATTTTAACTACTCCGGCATCTTTATTTACCTCAGAGCAGTCGAGAAGAGGTGGTTTTCCTCCATTCTTTAACAGTTTGAACACAACTGTCTCTACTGTCTTTACTTTTTTCCCAACCTAGATGTCCCACACTAAACCTTACATCAGAAAGAAAGCGGTGTTGATCATGTACAAGGTGTTTCTGAAGTACCCAGAGTCCCTGCGCCCAGCTTTCCCCAGGCTCAAGGAGAAACTGGAGGACCCAGACCCAGGTATCAGGAAAGACACTGCATGATAGATTCAGCTGGAAACTCCTGTGGACAGGCGTTCTCTGTCACCTGAACCCTATGAATTATTCAGCAACTAAGAATATGAGATTAAGGAAGGCTCATTTGTGATACTGCCAGGGCTGTCTGGGAATATTGACCAAGTCACAGGACTATTTTTGTTGCACAGACAAAAGCATCTCACAGGACATTTATCTGGTTTTGTACATTGTTTTTTTTAGCCATACTTAATTCAACCTGACCCAATAAACACAAATCAATAAATTTAATAAATTATGTTTAATTATGTTTTGTAAATGTATTGTGATTATTACATTTTTATTGATTTATTTGTTTTTATTTGTTCCTGTGTAATGCATTTTCTCCTCTTTAGGTGTCCAGTCTGCAGCAGTAAATGTTATCTGTGAGCTGGCACGGAGAAATCCCAAGAACTACCTGTCTCTGGCTCCACTCTTCTTCAAACTCATGACCTCCTCTACTAATAACTGGGTTCTCATTAAGATCATCAAACTGGTAAGTCATCAGGATACTTTAAGAGTTTGTGGATTGGTGTAGAAATTGCACACGTGGTCTTATATATCTTATATTGCTACCAGCAGCATACGATACTATACTGTGCACCACCAAGCCACGGTTTAGTTTTACTCTCACACTATTGCACCAATCATACAGGGAGAAATCCATCATAAAAGAGGAATTGATACTAGTTCCTCCACCAGCATTGGCCTCACTTGACCAAAATGCAATGAAGTCACATGACATGTTGTCTTTTTTAAGTAACATTCCTTTTCTCTTGACTAAATTAGAGCACATTTTTACAATATAACTCCCTGAATCAATCAGTGATCATGAACAGATAGGATAGTATCAAGAGTAGTTTTAATTTTAGAGGGAAATTCTGATGTGAGAGATGTTCAACTGTGAGTCATGGCACTCTTTGTGTTTGTTTTACAGTTTGGTGCACTCACACCACTAGAGCCACGGTTGGGAAAGAAGCTGATCGAGCCTCTGACAAACCTAATCCACAGGTGAGACGAAATCCCTCAATTCTAAACGTTTTCACGGATGATAAAAGCAGTTTCATCTGGCCGGTATATCAATAATAATCCCCACTCTCTCTTTCTTACCCTGTCCTCCTTTCTCACAGTACCTCTGCCATGTCTCTGCTGTATGAATGTGTCAACACTGTAATTGCAGGTCAGTACTGGTATTCTGTATGCAATGTAGTGGTCACATTCAGCTTAATGTGTGTTTGGTATAGTAGTTGCCCCAATTTCAAATGTGAATTTGTTGTTGCCTCTTAGAAAAATCTACATCTTTTCTTCTCACAAAATCTTATGTTCACAGTCACATCTAATAGTTTCTTTGTCCCGCATTGCAGTGTTGATTTCCTTGTCCTCTGGGATGCCTAACCACAGTGCTAGTATCCAGGTAAGCCTCTGAGGTCCACTCCTCTCTCTGCACTTTCTTGTGGTTAGATGTTGATCATAACCCTTTCCACTCCAGTTGAACCACAATGCATGCTTTCATCAGAGACACAGCCACCATCAGGCAGGCCAGCGATAAAGCTCATAAAGCTGTTTGCTTCTTGCATTAAGTCCTGTCAGCAATGCATGAAAAAATCATTTTGCACCATCGAATATATAGGGCCCATTTCCTCCCACTTTTGTTCGTCTGACCGCATGACAAGACTGAAACTGGTGTCGAAAGGTTTACAGTGATGTTAATGACTATCACTTTCTCCCCCCCTTTTCTCTTGTTCTCTCTCTATCTATCTATCTATCTCTTTCAGCTCTGTGTGCAGAAACTGCGAATCCTGATAGAAGACTCGGACCAGAACTGTGAGCCCTCTGTCAATGCCTGCAGTGTGTCATTTTCTCATTGTCTGCGTGTTTCTGGAACAGTCCACCCTTTTAGACGACAACAACGTAGACCCCTTGACTCTGGATAACTCGAACCTTATTACCTTCCTATTCTCAATTAGGCGGCCTGCTTAGGATGCCATCTCAATTAAGTGGCATACCTTGTGTATGACACAGGAAGTGAACTTACAGAAGAGTTTTCCTGATTTGTTGCTTCTATCCGAAAGGGGTAAAAGTTGCCATTTTCAAACATGGAGCTTGGCTCTAAAAAATACATTCCTTTTGCAAATTTCAAGTTGGAGTTTGTGCTGAGCATGCAGCATCCAGCCATTCGAGTTATCTGGATAACCATACATAGATAGTTGTGTGTGAGTAGAGTTATAGACCTGTTAATAGAACAGACTGTGAAACTGGTTTTGTGGTTATCCTTTTATCACGCCTCTTGGCTCTCATAATCACGCTTTAGGTAAGAAGCCGGATTTATACATCTCTGACGACGTAGCCTGACAGGCATCTCCCCAGAAATGTAACAACACGTTGTGGCGACGCAGACCCCAACAACTGTGATTGGTCTGCTTGGTGTGTGTGCGCCTTGTCTGAGAATGGGAAGCAACTCACGCGAAACCTAAATGACTTCATAATGCTGTTTGAGAATCCCTCACACACACACATTCTCAGACAAGCGTGTCCTCACACACACATAAACAGACAAACAGGCACATAGCCGCTTAGCTGCATGACATGCTCTTGTCTGTTCCCTCGCATTCCCTTGTGCTGCCGTTTCATGGGCAGCGGGATGAAAAGACAAAATGAGAAAAAGAGAGGAGGATGAGTTTCTTTCTGTCGCCATTGTTTGAAATACAAAAAAAGAACTCAACACCAATTAGTGTTTTGGCGGCGTTTTGCAGAGCACCACATACACAACAGCAACAAGTATGAATGGTCACAATGGCATAGGTCACTTGCGTAGGATCGACGTAGAGCCTGTGTAGAACTATAAATCAGCCTTACCTCTTTCCAATGAAATGAATGAATGAAACTCAGACAAACCTGTGGTATCATTCTTAATGCATTAAGTGTATTACAGTCTACTAAAATAGGAAAATAAATTACCTTTAAGTCACTGTTTTTAGATGTGTTGTGTGTTGACACAAACACAAGATGCTATAGATTTATTCAACTCTTACGTTGATTATCTTTCCTTTTTAATGAACAGGAATAGTCCTGGAAAGGCAGCGATGTAGTAAACAATCGTTGAAATGCATGTCGCTTTGTCAAGCTTACATTTCATCGCTCAATTATGCTTTCCTCATTGAGAGAAAGTTTCATTTGAACCGCTGCTGTCACTTTTCCATCGCAGATGTAGATTCAGAGGCTGTGTCGTTGTCTCCTGCAGCTGCACTGAGGCCACATCCCCGGTCATTTCTGCAATGTATTCACTGCAGTTATCAGCGTCACCTCACCCCAAGGTCACTACCACACACACTTATTGATCCAAGAACCCGAGAGCCATTTGTCTCTGCCAGATTAGATGATCAACAGAAGGCAGTGATTCAGCAGATTTCTGAATTTAAAAAAATGTGTTAGGTGAGTAGGAAAAGCTGCCAGGATACGACGGAGGATAAAGCAAAGCAAATCAAAACAACTGTGTCCAGTGTGTGTGTGTGTCTGTGTGTGTGTGTGCGTGTGTTGTACCATGTGTATGTGTTTGTGTGTCCTTTCCATTGTTCTGTGTTTTGTGTTCCTTTCCTTTTTGATATTCAGTTTGTGTTATGCCCTATACATTTTATAGATTATTTCATAGAAGAAAACATAACAGTAATTTGTTTATATTGTATTCAAATAGAAATATTTTCTATATACAGCCAGTTAGGCTTTATATAGTGACTAGATCTAGGGAAGTGTAGTATAAACTGAATATAATGTGTCCGCAACCATATATTATATTACAATCAAGTAAGGATAGTCAGGAACTTGATTAAGACAATATGACAGCAAATGTTGCTGTTAATTCAGAAAATAATTTCAGGTGATACAAGATAGAGATCAAAATATCTAATGTAGCTACTTGTTAGGGTGTAAGACAGCTAAGGGTGCACTTATGTCTGTTTTTAAATACGCTAAGGCCTTCTGTGTTTATGTTTTTGAAGTGAAGTACCTGGGCCTGCTAGCGATGTCAAAGATCCTGAAGACCCACCCCAAGTCAGTGCAGTCTCATAAGGACCTCATCCTCCAGTGTCTGGATGACAAGGATGAGTCCATCCGCCTCAGAGCTCTGGACCTGCTCTATGGCATGGTGTGAAGCAACGACTTTTATTTTTACTCATCTGTTTGTTTGTTTGTTATTCAGCATTTTTCAGTTTTAAGAAATGTGTTTCAGTGCCAGATTATCTTGGTTTCACTTTGAATTTCTATTTTTAGAAAATTAACTCAATACTTAGCAGGGCAGGAAACTCCCTCCTTTGCCATAGGTACTGGTGACGTGATTTACTTGATCGGTTACTATAGGTTTGTCAGGGAATGGCACAGTAGCTGGCCAAAGTAAGCTAATAGATGGTGTAGGTGCAGGTGGTGTTGACTCCAGTGATTGTGTGATATTATATTATGCCATATGAACAAATTCTGTGATTTATTCCCTGTACAAGATATTACACAATTTATTGTTCTCTCTGAATTTTAAAGCTGTTTTGAGGACATTCTGCCTCTTTCAGCCTCAGAAGGACAAATCATATTTTTTACATTCATGCATGTAATTTGATTGTTGTTGAACTGGTGTTTGCTCTCCCAGGTATCCAAAAAGAACCTGATGGAGATTGTAAAGAAGCTGATGCTCCACGTGGACAAAGCAGAAGGAACCACCTACAGAGATGAGTTGCTCACCAAGATCATCGACATCTGCAGCCAGAGCAACTACCAGTACATCACCAACTTTGAATGGTCAGTCTCGCAGCCAGGGACTTTACACCACCATCGTCTTATACTTATATACTCCATATTTTTAAACTTCGTTTGATGTTTTTTTCCACTCTCTGACACAATTTTCAACTGCACCTCTCCACGTCTGCTTGACAGGTACATCAGTATTCTGGTGGAGCTGACCCGATTAGAGGGCACACGGCATGGCCACCTCATTGCCTCTCAGATGCTGGATGTGGCTATTCGGGTCAGAGCCATCCGGGTCTTTGCTGTTGCCCAGATGGCCACTCTGCTGGACAACGCTCACCTGTTGACAGGCAACATGCAGCGAATGGGCATCTGTGAAGTGTTGTATGCTGCAGCCTGGATCTGCGGTGAATTCTCGGAGTAAGTAGATTTATCTCACGGATACACACACTGCTATAAACTGACAGTAGAAAAGTAAAAGAAGGCATATTTTTCATTTTGTACATAATAGGGTAACGGTAAACTTGAAGCACTTCAGCAACCCTGCATACAAATTTCATGTATTATATAGTAAGATATCCCATAACCAGTTGAATGAATGAACTGACAGCTTGGTTCAGTTACTGCACTCTGCACCCTCTAACATCCTTTTCTAAATTTGAATGAGTGAGAAGGTTCTCAGCGGTAATAGAATGTCTGTGTATTCTCATATTTTTCTCATATTTTCAGATGTGTAGGTAACTTGCTGCATAAGAGAAATTTCTTATCATAAAATAAGTATTACATCAGTGTCAAGCTGGAACGTACATTGTAATACAGTGTAGTTTTCACTCAGGCTTTTTCTAAATCCACCTCCTCTTCTTAGACACCTGGAGAACCCGATGCAGACGTTAGAGGCCATGCTGCGGCCTAAGGTGGCCACCCTACCAGGCCACATCCAGGCAGTGTACGTGCAGAATGCAGCCAAGCTGTTTGCCACCGTGCTAAAGAACCAGGAGGGAAACACGGACAGCACAGCAGCACAGGAAACCAGCCAGCTAATGATAGACAGGCTGCCGCTGTTTGTCCAGAGCGCCAACCTGGAGGTGCAGGAAAGGGTAAGCTGGAGATATGCATATATGTCACAATTGGGTTTTCTTTTGCCCAAACTCAAAATACAGATTCTTACTTTTTACCTTTTCTGCATTTCATACCTCCCAAGGTTACCCACTACATACAAATCTGATAAATAACCTCACTAATCTCCACGTCTGCCTCGCCTTCTGTCTTGTCCTCAGGCGTCTTGCATCCTGCAGCTGGTCAAGTACATCCAGAAACTGCAACAGAAGGACGTAGAAGTAGCAGAGGAAGTATGTGCTCTGTTTGCTGGAGAACTCAACCCTGTAGCCCCCAAGGCACAGAAGAAAGTGCCTGTTCCTGAAGGGTGAGTGGGCTCAGTACATGAGGATGTGTCATTAAAACTACACTGTTACATAGTTTGACATGACTGTTAACCCATAGTGTTTGTTCATACCATGGTGGACCAGCAACATTAGCTGAAACGTCAATGCTCACATATGTCTCTGTGGGTCTTGACCAGTGAAGTGTAACTGAGTTTGTTTGTGTAGTCTGGACTTGGATGCCTGGATCAACGAACCTCCATCAGAGAGCGAGTCTGAGGATGAGCAGCCTAAGGCTATTTTTGCCAAGGAGGAACCCAAACACTCCCGCCCTCGTCACACAGAGGTGGACGAGAAGGAGCTGGCAAGAGTAAGCTGCTCGATTACTATAGTATTTCTGAATTGAACAAGCAATACTGTTTTTTTTTTTAATAGTATAGACGTACAAGTGCATGTAAAAAAAAAAAATAAAAAAAAAATCACTTTTCACAATCACAGTTTTATCAATGACATACAGATACAATTAATTAATGCAACTGTATTTCTTTTCCCCACACCCAGAGGAGAGAAGCCAGAAAGCAGGAGCAAGCCAACAATCCGTTCTACATCAAGGCATCCCCGTCCTCTCAGAAGGTGTGCAGTCATCGCTTAAAATTTTCACTACACAGTACATGTCTCAGTTTAATCCAGTCTGTTTAACCTGGCCTGTATAAATAGTAATTATAGCATACAAATTATATGTAGGTGGACATGAAATGTATACACCATAAAACACTGTTTGTTAAGCCATGTTTTAAATTAATGTTTGCTCTGTGTAGGCGTACCAGGAAGCCCCTGGAGTGGAGCACATCCCAGTCGTGCAGATTGACCTCAGTGTGCCTCTCAAAGTCCCAGGTGGGACACACTGTTCCAACACTACCACAAAACACTAAATGCCGAAATCACAATGGCTTACTTTACTGCAGTTGCACTCACTACATGTCATGCTATGCTCGAATTAAGATATGTTTGTTTTATTATTAGTAAATTAAAATCTAGTAGACATTGCTGTCTTCCGTCCCGCAGGTCTGCCCATGTCTGACCAGTATGTGAAACTGGAAGAGGAGCGTCGGCAGAAAGAGAGAGCAGACAAGAAGAAGAAGGAGAAGAAGAAGAGGAAAGAAAAGCGCAGCGGGCGAGGAAGGAAACATGATTCAGGACCAGAGAGCGAGGAGGACATCACGCCTGCCCACATGGTTGACATTGTTACCGAGGAGATGCCAGAGGTATGCCGGAGCTGTTTAAACATCACAGTGAATTTGAAAGGGAAAGCTAGAACTAATATGATATCTACCAAAGCCAGAAACGTGGGGGATCAGATTTGATCCTTTATTTATATTGACAGGCATCATGACTTAGTGTAATAAATATATATTTGATTTCATCACTTGTATTCTACATAGGGCTGTAATTTACTGTTAAATGATGAAAGATATATCAGTTTTCCTCTCTAAATTATAACGCGGTTTACACATTACTCTGACCTTATTATTGACCAAAGCCAACCAACAATATTGTGTCTGTCAGAAATAAATACCCTTATTGCTTGTTTTATTGGGTTCACAGCTGTGAGACAACTGAGACTGGAAGTCAATATCTCAGATCTCTCTTTTTGTGGGTTGTGGATGTAGATTTATTCAGAAAGTTATTAACTGTGTTTCATTGATTTCACCTTTTTATTACTTCAGAATGCCTTACCCAGTGATGATGATGACAAAGATCCCAACGACCCTCATAAAGCCCTGGATATCGACCTGGACAAGTGAGTCCTCCCTATGTAGATCCTAATTCTACATATGCTCAGGCCCTTGTGTAAATGTTTCTCTTTATTTAAGCAATTAATGTTAAAGTTGCTGAAACCCGTCTTTTATATCCGACTGAGCTAATCAACCAATTGTTGAAACTTTGATTTTCAGTCCAAATTTAGAGCTGAGAAACACTGAAGTTGAATCTTGAATGATTTTTTAAATTTGGATATTTTCAGGATTTATTCCTGACCCTCCCTGCCGTAGTGTCACAGCCGATGTGACTCGGCCCTTTCCCTCCTCTCACTCCTTCTCATGGCGTTCTGCTTTCTGCTTCCTCTTTTCTATGCCTGCACACACCCCATTACTGCTTCATTGTGTGGGCAGCTTGGTGGAAGCGGCTGGGCGCAGGTGAGTAGCACCCCAGCCACAGGACCTGGGCTCCGACTGTACATGGATTGCTTTCTTTTTCTCTCTCTCTCTCTAAATAGTTGTCTTGCTCCTCTCACTAATATAGCTGTCCTTTCTTTCCTCATTTGGAGTTTGCAGTACCTGCTTCCTCTTTTTGCTCTTTTTTCCCCTGTATTTCTAAATTCTATTGTTCATTGTAGCCTAGTATAATATGCAGTATCCATTTTCTCTTACCCTGCTTCTTTTTTTAACTTCTTGACAATGTCAGCAGCATATTACTCTGTTTATATCCTTTTTTAAAAGAAGAGGAATGCTGTTAAAAGAAGATAAATATTTGATAAGGGTTATATAGTTCCATAGAAATAAGATCATTTCTAACTGGCTGCTGCTGATGTTCTCAGGACTTAATGTTTTACCACATGTCCTACTGGAATAGGCTCCTAAAAGCATGTTGACTCTTGTTTCTCTTGGAAAAGATAATCAGCATCAATATGCTTTTAGGAAACTTATCCCAGGGGTTAGATACTACAATTTTTTGCTTACATTTCCCAGATCCTCCTCAGTTGAGTTCAGTAGACTCGCCTTGCCTCACCAGCTGTTTTTTAAGTGGATGCTCCTTGCCTGCCCTGAGTGGAAATAACAAGCACATGTGCCCTTAGACCAATACTATGACTTAGATTTTATTAAATTATTTGGATGGTGTAAGATTAAGCCCATGTTTTAGACTATGAAAGGAAGAGGAGCAGAGATGATACAGGAGTTATTGTAAAGAATCTGTAAGAAACTGTAGTACATACATGTATGGGCTATATGCATTTCTTTCGCTGAAAATTGTCCCCAATAGCAACAATATAATATTTTTAACATCGTCTGTTAGATCACTGAAAACTATTATTTTATTACTGTTACTATAGACTGCTGATGCCTGTCTCTGGTCAGTCTCAGGGTTTGTCTGATGGCTTTTTAGTTGACATGGTTCAAACATCGACAATCCCAGAAACGGCTACATACATTAGACATTATTGTTATGCATACAAGCACACACTATGGAAGTGTGCAGGAAACAAAGTGCATACATTATACATGCACAGTCTTTCTAAGAAAAAAACACACAGCCAAAGGCAAAGTAAAACTCCATAGTGAAGCTAAACTGGAACTGAAGACATAAAAATGTACAATAATTATTACCCAGGTCGAGGTAATGAGGGATAGCAATGTGTCTTTATAGAGAATAACCAGCAGGGGGCTGCAGTGCATGTCATTGCTGCTTTAAAGGGTCATGCTTGGGGAAATAAACTTGACAGCACTAGTTGGAGGAATTTATTGGTATAGTTTCTAGTTATCTGGGAATTTCCAAAGCTTCTATCTCCACCAGGGGAATGGCTTACCTCAATGCTTTGAATGAGAACTGGCTGCTGCACAGTGCAGAATATGTGCCTGAATATGATTGATTGCTGCACCCTTTATCCTATTGTTCACTTTTCTAACCAATTAATGCCTAACTAAGAAAAAAAAGGAAGCTACAAAATATTTTCCAGATGATGGCTGAACTCCAGGTGAGCCATAATCACCTCATACGTCCAAAGTGAAAATGTGTATCTGTGCATTTTTGTTTATCCAGGCCACTTGCGGACAGTGAGAAGCTACCGGTCAGGGCACACCGTGCAGCAGAGGCTCCAAAAAGCCCGGCAGAAGATGGAGAAGCAGAGAATGCCGCTTCACAGGAGCCCAAGAAGAAGAGCAGCAAAGAAAAGAGAGAGAAGAAGAAGGATAAAGAAAGGGACAGAAAGGTGAGGAGAAAATGGCAACAGGATTATGCTCCTTTCTTCCCGGAAAACCACTTTCACCTCATTCTGTCAATGCTTTTTGAAAAAAACAGTAAAACAGATTTATGGAGCGGTTTGTGCGAAGGGAAAACAACAGAGAGCTGTCATGAGACACAGCCGAATTTATCCTCTTGTTTTTGTTTTTTTTTTATTTGCAGAAGAGCAAAGAAGAAAAAAAGAAGAAGAAACACAAACATGAAGAAAAGGGGGAGGATCTCCTTGGGGGTCAGGCAGACGAGCCTGTGGTCCAATCAGAAGAAGCCAATGAGGTGGCTGCACTGCCCACCTCCACCAGTGCCGAGGTATGTCCTTACGAAAGGGTGGAGCGAGGCTGTTTCCTACCTAGCAACAGAGTTGATATCTTATGTCTGATTTGAGCCAGAATTCTGATTTAAATTTCATAATTTGTTGTAAAAGCCGTAGTGAAAAACAGTTTACGAATATCATTATATGTAGTCTACAATTTCTGCTAAAAGGTTACATGCAAGCAGATATCTTTGATCATATTCATTGACTCAACACTCCCATTGCTTCTTCCCAGCCTGTCTTTCAATCAGCCTTAGTGATCAAGTATCAGTTTCCTCGTAGCTGACTGTGCGGTGTCTTGCCAAATACTTGATTTATTCATGAAATAGAACAGTGTAATCTCTGTATCCATTTTCATGAATAGTAGAAAGATACAGAACCTGTTGGCCCCTCACCCCTCTCACCTCCTCGCACTCCTCTCCCTCCCTGCCTCTTCTAGGTTTCGGATCTGGATTTCTGGCTCTCAAACGCTCCAGTGCCCTCTAACACCCAGGTTGAGTCACCCCTCTCTCCCTCTCTCCCTCTCTCTCCCTCTCTCTCTCCTCCCCTCATCTCTACAGTTTATACATATCTCTTTCATAACTCCCATGTTTTATCGATCTATCCTTATGCGTTTGTTTTTGCGTTTTATTGCCTCTTGATTTGGATCAGTTGTTTTTTCACCTCTTTCACACCTCACCTTTTTGACACAACTTCCTCTCTTTGACAGGTCACATAACACTTTCCTCTCTCATTCTCCAGCCTTCCTATGTTTTCTAGCATGATTGTATGTATGCCTGTGTACACAGTATGTGCGCATTTGTCTCACAAGTGGTTCTCTTCCTCAGCTTTTGTTTTGCTCGCTGGGTGTCGTGTCCGTCTTGAGGTTAAAGTAGATTTTGTTGCTGTTGTTGTATTGGTGTTGTTGACAATTGAGCAGAGGTTGTCTGAGGTTCCCTGGAATCTGGTCTGGAGTCAGTTCCTTTGGTTCCTGTTGTCACCACATGTGTCCTTTGACTGCTTCCTCCATGAGCACACATGGGGTCGTGCTTGTCTTTGTTTGTGTTTGACTTTTTGAGTGCCACAACTGTACAACAGAGAAAATAGTAAACGGTAACAAACAATAATTTTAAAGAGAAGCTCCATATTGGAGATATGAGTGTCTCTCACCAATAAAGCCTCAAAATGTCATATTGTTGCCTTAACTTTACAAAATAGCTTTTGACATGTACCACAGATGTTAACACAGACTTTGTTTTGCACCTTCTATACCTTTCCATCTATAGATATGAGATGTGTTCAGTAAAACCAGCGCTGTCAGTCATGTTATCTTTAGTTTTGAGGAATTCTGTTTTTAATCATGTGAGCTGTCAGCCTCAAGCTCTGTAAAAGCACTTCTGACCTAGAAATTGGACCTTTTTAAGGACATGCCTCAACATGTCTGTGGAAGACTTGTTATTGTATTAGCTTTCACACTAGCATAACAGATCAGAATGTGATTTATCAGGAGCTTACAAAATAATATATGTAGGCTGTCACTAGGATCCTGTAAAGCAGGCTCTTAAATCTGTTGGCAGAAGCTAGTTCGTACAGTCAACCCAGCAGTCCCAAAACAAAGCCACCATACATGTACAGATACCTTCAGACATAACCTACTTGTTGGTTTCTCAGGCAGGCTCATTTGTGCTCCTTTGGCTGGTCAGTAGTCTTGCATGTAATGCTCTTGATTTAGTAGCTGTATGTTTGTGGTATCACAGAGCTCACTAGGTTGCAGCTGATGATGAATGATGTTTTTATGACTGAGTGAACTCACTAACTGCACTTACCTCTGTTGACACAGAAACTGAACATTGCTATGTGTGTTACATGCTATGGTTTCTCGCTGCTAATGCCGTCATGTGCTTTGTGGTGGTGTGTGTGTGTGAACAGGAAGCAGCAACAGTAGCAGTAGCAGAAGCAGACCCTGTGCCTGAGGCAGCCTCTGGCACGGCGCCAGTCTCCGAGCCCGATGAGCCCAAAGACACCGAGATGGAGGAGACTGTGAGTCACCATTGATGATGCGATAATTACGAAGTAGAAAGTTTGGCTGTGGTGCTAGAGATTCCAGTTCACAGTGACCTGACAGGATGGGGATTATTGGCAGGTCTTATTCTCACAAGCTTGTGTAAATGATGTACCAGGGAGCTGTCAGTTTTTATGTCGTCTCTGGAGGAATATTTCTACCAGTAGCCATGTTTCGTGCCCAATTCAGTTTTCAACCTCACTGAATTTCTAATATATTGTCTCCATCCTTCAATGATTAGAAGTCCTCCAAACACAAGAAGAAGAAGCAGAAAAAGGAGAAGGAAGAGAAGGAGAAGAAAAAGAAGAAGAAGCATCATCACCATCATCACCACAGTGATGGAGGTGGAGAGGGGTCGGTGCAGAATGGCACTGTGGAGGAAGAAGAGCCTCTGCCGGTCAGTGTTTGTCATCAGCGGTTTAACCTCAGCCAGAAGTCTGAATGACAACATTCAGCACTCTGAGCACAATTAATGCATGTCTTTTTTTATATGCATTCATAAAGTTCTGGACTTTCCTCTTGATTTAATGTTGGTTTTGCGGCAAGTCACTGACCTCAAAGCCACAAATAACTTGATGCTCCATGTAGGCAGTATAATTTATCATCATTTTGATCTGTGCCTTTCAAGCACCACTGTTTAAACCCGCTGACCGCTGCAGACTGTTGCGCACACACACACACACACACACACACACTGCCTTGCTTGTTACACACCAGCTAGGTAGAACCAGCTCCTGTTGCCTAGTTAGCATACTGAGTGACAGAGAATGCCTGATCTGACCTGAGCTCTTCTCTCCTTTCAGCCCATGTCCAATTACTGCCTGCTGGCTGAGAACTCCTACATCAAGATGGTGAGTGATGAGCGATTGAAATGCTGCTACTTTTACCACTGGACTCTGATAATTATTTTTTACTCATTATTTTTCATAACTGTGCCTGCCATTTGGCCTCATTTCGGTCATAACATTTCATTCTAAAGCCATATTATATTATATTATATTATCATGCAGCTTCAACAGTGCTGTTACTGCCATAAATGACAAAGCACCACATGAATGTGTCAAACGTTATCAAATTGGGTTGGGAATTCCTTATGTAGCTTTAGGGTGATGCTAAAAGGGTTTACACTAGACATAGACATGTGTTTGCTTGCTTGACTACAACAGACACTATTGTCTGATTACTGAGAAAGACAAATGTATATTTGATCATCTGATTGTCCACACATGTTTACCCTTATTCCACTCAGTTGTGTTGCTGTGTCACTGCAGACCCATATCTCTGCAAGTAAAATAACCAATAATGAGATCCACATCAATCAAATTCCAACCTTTACGCCTCTGTGTACACAAATGTGGAATTGATCTTGGCAAACACAACCAATCAGTTAATCATAATCAGCTAATGTCCATGCTTGATATTAATGTGGAAGTCATCTAAGACAACAGTAGCAGTAACAAGTACAAGTACAACAAGTATGCAGATCTCTCCTTTTCTCTCCCCTCTCTTTAAAGATGATGGAGGATGCTGATGAGGTACTGGTTAAAGTTCTGTCAGTGACAGAATATAATGAAAACTCTTTACTAGATGTGTTTCTGTTCTTGTTGCTCTTCACAGACTGGCCTCTGAGGCAGACTTTGTATTTATAAGAATTATTCCATCCTTGTGATTTTCTCCTCGTGCTCAGGCTGGTTTCTTGGAAACAGTGATGTGTGCTTTGGTGTTGGGTTTTATGAATCAGATTTGCTGTGTTTACTGTATGCCTTTCTAATAATCATCGCTCAGTTTTTAAAATAAGAGGAGGGAGGTTTGAACAGCTTGGGTTTCAACAGTAATTCCCAGTGCAAATAAATGGGGGAAAAAAATATTATTTTTTTTTCCTCCCACTTAGGTGTACGACATCCAGGGAAACCTGCAGGATGGCAGTCAGGTGGTGGTGTCTGTTATATTTGAAAACAAGTGTGACAGCTTCCTCAAATCCATGGAGTTTAACGTCCTGGACTCTCTCAACTCCAAGCTGCAGAGGCCAGAGGGGTCGGGTCCACATGATGGCCTCACCGTCCCCTTCCAACTTCCACCTGGTCAGTGATTATCTGCAAAATGCAGGTCTTTTAGATGATTTTGAATACCCATTTTTAAATTCTGATTGACGGTGAACTTTCCTCTTGTGCTTCAGGGGTTTCCAATGAGGCACGATTTGTCTTCACTGTGCAGAGCATCGTGATGCCACAGAAACTGAAGGGAACCCTCACTTTCATAGTAAAGGTCAGTAGGAATACACACACATGAAAACAAACATAATTGTCAGTTTATTTTTGTCTCTTTTAGTATCAAATTTGAATCCAGTCATAGCTTCAATAATGTGTCATTACTCTTTATGTTCCACTTTTCATCGATAATTTATTTTCCTGCTGCCCACCCTCAATATGTCAAACATAAATCGTACTGGTTGGATTTTGTGGAGTTAGATTTGTTAATGTAATTGTTTCCATTTTGTTTTTGAGTCCACTTATGTGTTAAAAACAGCAGAGTGACATAGTAGCATTGAAGCTTGTTCAGCGAGACAAGGAATCCTTACCAGCTCCAGGGTTCATTTTGGTAACTAACCCTTCACCCAGATCTCTGCACAGGTCTGCAGGCCAAAAGTGAAAGAATCAGTACCACTTTACTTTATGGATTATGTGTATTTGTTGTTGTGTTCACCACAGAATGAGGACTCCTCTACTCATGAGAAACTGGACTTCAAACTGCACTTTACCTGCACCTCCTACCTAATCACTACTCCTTGCTACAGGTCGGTGTATTAAGTTTCTGAAACATCTTTCATGCCACATTATAAAGGTGAAAAAACTTCTTACTATTTTTAATATTCCTTTGGACAAATGTTTTTCCCTCTTGGGAGCATACATGTTTTTTGGCAATATGCCCATTAGAATTTGTTTTAGATAAAGAAGTGGGAGTATTGGCAGTTTGCCCAAAGGATGTTGCTAAAAAATAACTTGAGGAGTGTCCGAAATGTAAATAGGTCATCATCCTCTGTGCAGCAGGAATAGGTTTAGTAAATTTCAGGTCAATCTGCGCATTAGATTTTTAGCATTTATGTGTAAAATTAGAGATTCATGATTAATGATAACACTAGAGGAAAGAGTTAGCAAAATGTTCTCTAGGGACCATGAATATCTGCAGTACATTTAATAAACATTTGGCTATTAGTTTCTGAGTTGTTTTAGCTCTTTGTCATGTTTTTGGCCGAGGAGTTATTGGAAACTGAGTTTGTGTTGTTTTGTTTGGCCAGCGATGCGTTTGCAAAGCTGCTCGAGTCGGGCGACCTGAAGTGCAGCTCTGTCAGACTGGAGGGAATCAACATGCCCTTCCACCACCTACTGGCCAGGATCTGCTTCCACCACCATTTCTCTGGTACATATACACACCCAGCCAATAACTATTCGTTTCAAGTCCTAAAACATCAAGTTACCAGATGGGTAGGGCGTTCCACTTACAGAATTCAATAATAGTGTTTATCAGGAATTTATGACCATCATAGGAAAGTATTTGAATGTTAGTTTGTTTCTGTTTGGTAACTTTCAGTCTGCAATTGTGCTGATTCAATAAGCCCCACTCATGTGGTAAACCATGTAGTGTACAAGAAAGGTTCATAATAATCAGAATAATTATGTGATGCATTTGTTCAGAGTGTTGCTGACGCTTGTGTTCTTTTTGTCTCGTTGGATTAGTTGTGGAGAGGATCGACTCCTGTGCCTCCATGTACAGCAGGTCTATCCAGGGTCACCATGTTTGTCTGCTGGTCAAAACTGTGAGTTGAACCAATGAAACTCCTCCCTTATCTTGTATATTTTCATAAAAAATTTTTATATGGACTTTCAGATTGTGACCTTGATATTCTCTCTCTCTCTCCTTCCTCCCAGTCTGATCAGACAGTGTCCATTGACGCTAAATGTGACGAGCCGACGCTGCTTGGGAATGTGCTGGATGAGATCAAGCAGACCTTCTCTCAGTGCTGATTGTGTCCGACAGTCCCAGGGTGCCCCCGACCCCTCCATGCCACCCCCCCTCTCTCACTCGCTGAAACACAACATAATCATGTTACGAAAACACTGCGGCTGGCACTTCCAGTATCGCCCTATTTATTAGTCCTCAGATTCGCAAGATTTCTTTCCCCTTACCGTCTTCTTCTTCACACTCTGTCGTTCCTCCGCACTCCGAGCTCTGTGGTCACTCCCCGACACTTGATGTTGTTTTACAGACTCACTGTGTACATGCTTCTTCCCTGCGATTTCATTTTTACTTCCTGGTTTTCTAAGCCAAACTGCTCACCGTGTTCCACTCTGACTCTATACTGAGCTCCTGTTTCTGGATGCTCTGCACCCTCTGCTCTTTCCCTTGTACCTCTTTGCCCTCCACTCTGTCGGCAATTCAGTCTGTGACAGTCATGTAATGTAATGTTGACAACTGGACTTTTGCTGTTGATGGTTGAATTGTGTTTTTACCGTGTTGAAGGTTTTTTTTGTCTTTGGTTTGTTTTTGTTTGTTGTTTTGTCTCTTTTTTTTTTTTTTTTGTCTGAAACCTGTCTGCGCCTTTGTCTCCTTCCCTTCTTTCTGCTCACTAAACATCAATGTGCGTATTGCTCGTCTGTTGTAGGCCTGGAAAAAAACATTTGATTGACTCTTTCTCAGAATGGTCCTAGCTGGAAAAATAGGGACGCTAACCTCCTCACCCACCACTGACCTGGGCCTGGAGAAGACCAGACACTGAGCAACTGCAGTGGTAATAGTGCAGAGATGAAAACAAAGCTGCATATAAGGCATGGATTTAAACTTCTTTGTTGGCACTGCAGGCGATTTGTAGATCAGTGGTTATGCTCTGTGCCTTAGCCGTGCAGTCTGACCTACTCCAGTGTATCATGCCTCCCAGGTATATCCGCTCCCTGATCAACTGTGCTAAGCTGCAGTTTGCCCCCCCCCCCCTCAAGAACTTCCAACATATCATTCTTTTCACGAATCAAAGAATAATTCGAAGACAGGAGAGTATGAAAGTGATTTGATGGAATTCTGGCACTAGAGTTGAAGTGTACTCGGGACAGTTTGCTGTCAGGCATCTTTATCAGCGCCCTCTTCAACTCACAGATGGTTTGGTTAGTTGTATAGAAGATGTTATATTATGTGATATTATTGTAATACACAGAAGGATACTGTTATTTCTATGAAAACGCTATGGTGCTTAGGGCCCTTATGTGTCTCACCACATGGTGAAGTTAGTGACAGAATAATCTGACATTAAGAGAGCTGTTACATCGCTGTCTCTTTTCTCTGAAAAATCCAAAGTATGACTGGCTAAGGGATGACAAAGTTACACTATCGACATGTCTTTATTCTTAAAAGCAGCTGCATATCAGGTTGCTGAAGTTGTTCTCTCTGTAAGCAGAGACTGTTAAGTGGTTTTAGGTTCTCTTTCAATCAGTATTAGGCGACATGGCTTCCACTATAAGGAAGCTTCCACTCTGTCAACAGAAGAATGCAGTTTTGTCTGTCTTCATGTGAAATCATGTGAAACCTTTTACGCCTGTGCCACTTTGACATTTGCATCACAGTAGCTGCATCCGAGCTGGGCGACACCCAGCTGGCGTGCACCCAGATAAACCCCAATGTTCCTTTACCCTTCAGAAACTGCCTTGCCACTTTTTTTTTTTTTTTTGTTCATTGACATGTTATGATGAACATGAATGGCCATATTTAAAAAAAAAAAAAAGAAAAGGAATGGCCGCCTCTTAGAACTCTCTGAGGTATTGATGTTTGTTTGTGTCATTCATGTCTTAAAGTCACTACCCGGTCCAGCACGACATAACCTAGTAGTAGCAAGATAAAAACTGACTCGGGTGCGTCTCTGATCATATTTACTGGTAAGGCCCTCTTCGCGTCTGTCTGCTATTGTAGATAACAACTATGATAATGATGTCTGTGACCTGAAGACCAGGTCAGCCATTCCATGAGATTTTGTGTCCATTAGTAGAGTCTGAATACAGAGGTGATCAGCTGTATTTCAGGAATGTCAATAGAAAATAAGTATGTATGTATTCCCTGTTCCTGAAAATGACTGAAAAAACACCCTCCCCTAATCATACATTGTCCTAATTCTGATCTTTTTTTCCCCTGTGCATTATATTTCATTAAAATTTGTATATTGCATGATTAGGAATGTACACTTTTTATTTCCCTTAATTTTCTGTCCCATTGACATGCTTACACAAACAAAAACTTGTCATTCCATTTTGTCCTTTTTCTTTGTTGTTTTTTTTTTATGAGGTTTACTTGACCATTCTCTATTTTTGATGGTATTGTGTTTTTATCTATTTTAAGTTCAGACAATTTAAAAAAGAAAAAGAAAAAAGCAGTGATATCTTTGAATGTTTTAAATTATTAAACACAAGAGGAAGGAAGGGGGTTCTATTTGGCGTCATGATACTGAGGGCATGGTACTCCAAATGTTGAGTTGAGTAGAAGAGGCCACATGAAGCAGTGTACTGAGAGGCAACCCACTCTGTCTTAATTCTCTATTGGTTCAGTTGTAGTGAGTTATTTTACCAAGTTTGGCTTGTGACATTGAAATATACTCTCATATGACTCTGATTTCTGAAGGTCCTGTCTTTTTATTTCTCCATATTCAATTATCAAGCTGTACAATGTAAAATGTTTTAAAGGGGACAACATAAATTATCTACATTCCCTTTAAAGAAAGTCCACCCAAATTAAAAATAAAGGCTGTAAGAAGCTACTGTAGTCCTTTTTGTTTGTGTGTGTGTGTGTGTGTTACAGTGAAACAATAAACACCCACATATGCCAAAATGTTTAATATATTTTCTGTGCGTATGAGGAGACAACAGATGGATAACAGATTAATGTGCGTGGGATGCTCTTATATGTTTATTTTTTACACAGACAGAGATGTTGATTTTCACACCGAGATGTAGTGCTAGAACTTCAATTCCCAGAAAGCTTTGCACCACAAGTAATCGAGATCTCTGTACTGACTGACAGCGAGCAGCTGAGTTGAGTAAAGTTCAACTGACAAAGCCGCAGGTTTTGGTTTTTGCGTTTTATGTAGAACTAGTTTCTTTGAACGCAGAGGTCGTCCAGCCGACCTCCTTTTTCTCGTGGGGGAAGCAGTGCACCCGTCAGAAAGAGGAGACTGGCTAGCTTTCGTTAGCATCACTGTCAAGCTAACTAACCGGGAGAAGTTCCCCGTGTTAACTTTCAAAATAAAATCCCCCCTCTCAAAGTGTTATTCTTCAAAGGTTACGAGAAATGTCCGTTAAGCCTTTTAAAATACGTTAAGAGCAGCGTTATCGTATATTTTGACAATTAAATGTATGTTTTTCTACGGGATTGCGTTTAGAGCTTACGCTAAAAACCACTAAAGCCAACGGAAACAAAATTGACCAAAAAAAAACAAAAACAAAAACTAATGTATTATTTTTATTTTTATTTTAACAGCAAAAATATAAACAAACACACTCATAAATAGCGAGCTGTTACATATGCAACAAAAAAAAACAACATTATGTTAAATAAAGCAAAAAAAATAAATAAAAAGGGCACTATTTCGAAAGCTGTGAGCGGAAGTGGAGTGATAAAGTGTGTGAGTTGACTAACAGTAGGTTCAGATGGTCGTTAATACCTGGGGCTCCCCGGGATTGTTCACAACAACAGAGGAAGCAGCACCAGCTCTCACCAAATAAAGCCCCGTCGCGATTTTTTTTTTTTTTAAGATCCTGTTTCGGGAACCATTACTAACGGAAACTAACGTTAACGCGTTCCTGTGCGAGCAGGGCTCCGTTCTTCCACTGATAGCCATTGTTTGTAACCGAGCTAGCTTTGTCCTTTCCTCGCAGTCACAGCTGTGGTGGGTTGGTTGCTGATATATATTTATATATATAT